ATTCAGATACCCAAATATTAAACATGGTCCTTCGAGCCATGGGCGGCCTCTTGGGCTATTACAAAAGTCACTCAAGTTAGTAGCGAGCGAGAAACCATAAAGCGCGGACGGTAAGATAGGTCAGTGAGCGAAATAAAATCAATCGGGGAAATCATAAAACAAAAAGACATTTAATTTGCGGAAAAAAAAAACAATTAGACGCGAGTGAAAAAGTTAAATCAAACAAACAAACGACACAAATAACAAAATTAAAGACGAGCACCAATTTTGTTAAAAAACAATATTTTAAACGTTGCGAGCAGCATACCGGCAGCAACAACATATTGCTTTGCGATACCAAGGCATATTAAACAGTGGTGCAATTACAAAAAACCAAAATAAAAAATATTTTTCAAAATTTGGTAAATTAAAACAATCAAACGAAAACGACAAAGATTTAGAATTAAATAGTGCTCTTGTGGGAAAGAGAAAAAGTTTGACAATTGTGCAAATTAATACTACAAAATTTAAAACGATACAATTGTGAGATTGTTAGCAACAAATTTTTTAAACGTTGCGAGCAGTATACCTGCAACAGCAACAAATTTTTAATCGTTGCGAGCAGTATACCAGCAACAGCAACAAAATTTTTAAGCGTTGCGAGCAGCAGACCTGCAACAACAACACATTTTTCAAGCGTTGCGACCGCCAGCAGTATACCTGCACTTAACGGAGAACGCCCTACTGGATCATCAAAGGCGTAAGCGGTGCGACCCCAGCACTACCAACAATTTCACTACAAACCGGACAGAACCCCTACCCGAAGAGGCGGAACGGAAAAATTTATCAAAACCGGCTAAGTAAAAGCACCCATGGCTGAGTAAGCCCATATGTTTCATGTGTATATTTATATAAATATATTGCGGTAGCCCGGTAATTATACAAAAAATAAAAGCAGACCTAGTTTTCCAACCCCCGTTAATCTCGAAAATTCCAGTTGCTGTTGAACTTAAACTCATGCATATACAGATGTATATATGTACATATGTATGTAGACACATAGTAACGGCAAATTAGCTATTACCTTTAACTTTGCTAAAGTCGTAGAGTAAAAGTCCTATTATTTTCACCCAACGCTGCCGAAGTTACAGCAGATTCTTACCCTACAAAAAATTGTGCGACTAATCTCTAAAGAGAGTACTTCGGAATAAGTCTCAATCGGGTACAATTGGGCATTAATTAGTCGCAACTAGTCTCATACGGGTATTATTGGAGATCAATTAGTCTCGACTCATCACCTACGGGTACGATTGAGGGTTTTATAACAAAAGTTGATTATTAAAAATAATTTATCACAGAAAAAATTAGGTTTCCTTTTTTAATACGCATTAACATTAATAATTACTATTTTTTTTTAATAAGTAATTGGTTTATTTTAAAATTTCACACCTTTTACTCGCTTTCAAAAAGTAAAAGATCTGAAATTTTAGGAAAAAACTTGCTTAGCTGATATTCATAAGGTCCCGTGTGTTTTGCACTCGAATAAGCCACTATACAAAAATTGTGGATTTTTACAAAAAAGTTTAATTTATTCAAAGACCCTATAACAGAAAGAAGGTAATTGAATTACCCTTCTTTCAATATACATTAATAATAATAATTACAAAACACTTAAAAACCAAGCCTTGGTTAACAACTTTGTACAATTCCGTATGAGTATCTTACACTCACATAAGGCATGCTCAAAATTTTAAAATTTTTACAAACTAATTTTATTTGTTCAAAAGATTTTATTACACGAAGAAAACCAATTGAATTACCTTTCTTTTAATACACATTAACATTAATAATTACTTAACACTTTTTAAAAAACAAGCCTTGGCTAACAACTTTGTACAATTCCGTACGAGTATCTTACACTCGCATAAGGCATACTCAAAATTTGAAAATTTTTACAAACAAATTTTATATGTTGAAAAGATTTTATAACAGGAAGAAAATCAATTGAATTACCTTTCTTTTAATACACATTAACATTAATAATTACTTAACACTTTTTAAAAAACAAGCCTTGGCTAACAACTTTGTACAATTCCGTACAAGTATTTTACACACGCATAAGGCATACTAATTTTCACATTTGTAATACTTGCAAATAATTTGTCTTGGACGTATGTACATTAATTTGTAAGCCCAATTAATGTATTTATAATACACACTGATACCAATAAAAAAGAGGAAACACTTTGGAGCTTATTGTACACATATCGCTCGTTGCCATCATTGTCTCGCTCAACTCCACTTATCGCCTAACTTGTTTAAAACACGCTCCACGCCGTTGGCACATTTTGAACAGGTCATTAACACTCTAAATTCATGAACCTAAAACCACATCAGTTATTCTGTTATTTGGAAGAACCATATTACTAGCACTTCGCTTACAGGCATGTTATTACTCCGGCACTATGAGATAACACGATGATGTTTGCAAGTATAATTTAATTGCGACAAATTCAACAGTTTGAATACTTTTTCTCTGTGGACGCGAGTGAAGATGGTGGAAATCGAATTTGTCAAACCACTAGCTACGAGGAAAATCTTTCTATTGCAAAAGAACACAATAAATTTAGCACAGGTCATGGTACAATCAATCCTTTACCTTTAAGCTGTCTAAATCTAAAACAACGTCACCAACAACGACTAATATCGGTGTTATGTTTATCCATAGATATTGTCCTGGTCACAAACCAAAACAAATTCCTTCACAAAAGCATCCCATCATCTTTGGTGGCCGCATTTGTTGTTCTTGCTCCATAGCGCTCTTAACTACAAAATATTGAAGCAATTATTACTTAGTAATGTTGTTAGTCATATTCTGCAGCTAATTAATAATATACCTGTTTATTGTGCTTAAACTATAATAGGTTCGTTCGCGTAGCTGTTAATTGTTCATGTTTAACCAAAACTTACAGGTTTTTGCGTTCGCGTACGCAAAAAACTTGCAAAGTAGGGGAAATTGAGAGAGCAAAGTGACATTTCATTTTGAGGGGAAGCTGTTAGTTTCTGTTGGAAAAATTTTTGCCAACAGCAATTTGCCAACAGGGAAACAGCTGATCAAAAACAGCTGGTTGGCATTTACGCAAATCACAAAATTTAATTTGATGGTTTGGAAGATAAAAATTACAAAATGCGACAAATTAAACTTGTAAGAAATAAGTAGTTATTTGTTTAATCAATAAACTGTGTCAGTATAACACTTTGCGATGACTTTTCGTACGTTTTAAATTTTATACTTTTGTATGTAAACAAAATTTATATCAGCTGTTCGTCTAACTTGCAAGTTTCTGCAAATTTTCTGTTCGCGTTCTATTTTGGATATTTCTCTCTTGTGAGCGAACAGATGACATTTCGCCAGAATTTGGCAGTTGGTTGGTTTCTGTTGGAGATTTTAAACGAACGCACCTAATAAAAGCCCACAGCAAATAAATAAAGCAATTTTGAGTTGTCAAAAATCTCAAGTTGTCAACATTCTCCAGCGACGGTCCTGCCAACATCCAATTTATCGATTAATTAAGAAAAACCAACGATCAAATATAATTCATTATAACCGAGGTGTATCGGTATGCATTTTTTTTGTTGAAAATGTAATAAATGGGTTTTATAGTATGCTCACCACTTTTATTGTTTATTTTTTAGAAAATTTGGCAGCAAAGTTCAAAAATTTAGGTCGCACTACAATACATTTTGGCAACACTAATAAAGTTTGACAATTAGCCTGTTCCCGTACTACAGAATTTAATCAGAAATAGCCCCAACCGACCAGTGTTGCCGGTGAGAACTTTCAGATAGTCGCAAAAAAGGGGTTATTGACGAAAAAAGGTTCATCATATTATTTTTTAATTTTTTTTACTAGTAAAAGAATACATCTGTTGAATTTTAAAAGAAAATTCACATAAATCTAGTTGCTGCAAGGAGAAGAGTTGCGTTTTCTTTAAAAGTTTTAAGTGATGCGTTCCCAATTCCAATCATTGTTTAAACGTTTACATAATGTTTAACGTAAAGTAAAAATTATGAATTTATTAATGGCTTTTGGTCGATTTTAGGGATGAGAACTAACGACGAAAAAACGATTTATCACAGTTAACAAATGAAAATAATAAAATTATAAATCTTTGGCTAACGAACAAACGTCAAAAATGGACGAACATTAAAGAACAATCGACGAACTATCGATTGCATTACAAAAATCTTAACATTTTCACAAATGAGGTGCTAACGTCGGTTGGGTAGAAATAGTCCGAAGTCGTTCGGTACACATAAGTCAGAATACCAACCGTTTAGCTATTAAATTCTGAACTACGTAACCTATTAAAAAACGAATGATGCCAAATTCAAGTAACTAATTTGTCTTTCATAATTTATAGATAGCCAATAATTACGGGATGGTATAATATCTATACCAAAGAACGTAGATAACAATAAGGGACAACTCGTTATAATTGTAGCGAAAGTGAGCAACAGGTGTGTGCCTTCTCTTTTGCCCTAGTACGTTTTTTGATTGGATGAAAAGAGAAGGCAAGGTTGCGCACTTTCGCTAGAATTATAACGAGTTGTCCCGTCTTATTATCTACGTTCTTTGTCTATACTATCGTATGTATCGTGCAGAAATGGATGTTCCTCTCGTTTGACGCGTTCCAAACGCTTCCTGCATCGTTTTGAAGGCGTCAAAGAAGAGGAAGAAAAATGTCATAGCAATAAATGCGAAGAAAAAAATGTATGATGTACGAAACCTAATAGAATACGGTCGTAAAAATCCTATTTTATATTATGTGGACACGCCGAGTACAAAAATATACGAAAAAGGGGAAAATAAGTGCATTGTACAACGCAATCCGACGCGAAAAAATCGCGCAATTGTGCGCACGTTTGCGGATTCGAAGCTAGCAGCGATTCAAGTGTTTATCGTGTATCACACCAATGGCAAATTAATATCGATAACTACAATCAGTAGATGGCGATCTCTAGTTTTGCAACAGATGTTTTTCACTTGCCGAATATAAAGTTGACCAGCGATTCTAGAAGTATTTTGAGGAAAATTGAATTAAATTAATAAATAAAAGGAGAATTAAAATCGAGAAACAGTGGATAAATTAGCGAGAAATATGAATAAGGTAAGTAAGCGTCATCTTAGAAGATTGGTTCCTAAAGAAAGGGAAAATAACCGTGAAATGTTCAGGTTAAGTGAAAATGCGCAGATTGCCACAATTGCGTCCATTGCTGGAGTTGTCGAAAGTGGAGAAGATGTGCCATGTAATTCGGCAAATGAGGATTTGAAAATATTTTTTTTTGAAAATCTTAAAATGTGGGCTATTCGCAATTAAATGTCCCATAAAATCCTTTCCGAACTTTTGACAATTCTGGCAAATGAAAATATTAATGTACCTAAATGCGCAGGAAGTTAAAATCAATAATCGTTTTATTTTACTCCAGCACCTTTTTAAAAAATATGGAGCGCAAACCCCGAGCACGTCGGCAGCGGCAGTACCGATAAAAAAGGCAAAATGTAAGTATGCGTAATTTCTATTGATATTAAAGTATATCGATCAAATAATGTTCTAGATGCGACCGAAAATAGAATCCTCTTAGAAAACAGCTCAAGACGCGTTAGTGTGGCCAGTGAATGCACTATAGGTAAATAACTCCTTTCAGTGACATACATACATACATCTTCCCTTATACATATATCTTTTTATATTTTTTAGAATCACGGAGAATAAGCGTATCAACATCGGCCATACAAACAAATGGTAAGTTTTAAAACCTTATATATATTCACCTTATTATCAAAATAATTTAGTTATAATAAAAATCGCATATATTTTTCATATTTAGAAACCAACCAAGAAGTTTTCCAAGTTGTGTGTTGCAGTCACTGTAACGTGTTTGAAAAACAACTGCAAGCAATGGATAAAAAAATAGAAGTCCTGCACAATGTGGTGGAAACCCAAAACGCCGCGATCATGGATGCAATAGCCGGGCAAAAGGTGGCTACAGAGCAACTGGAGCGTCAAGAAGCGCAAAATACAGCAGTCGTCAAATACTTTCCGGTATGCGATATACCTGAAATGCAAGCGTTGGAATTCAAAATAACTTCTGCCAACAGAGATATTTATGTGCGTTATCTATAAATGTAGAAATTTGCTGAATATTTTAAATGCTTTATAAGAAAAAAATTATATATGTATACATACATACATACATTTAAATATATAAAGCTTTTCAAATCAATTTCATTTCTCTTTTTAAACTTATCGATATTAAAGGAGGTTGCTATTTCATCCATTTTATGCAACAACATTAAAAATATTTCATCGCTACTAAAAATAGAGGTAATCAACCAATTAAATGTGGATGGATCTCATGGAAAGGTTGGACTTAAATCCTTTCCAAACTTTTATGGTGCACTTGCAGGTGTTAAAAGTTTTTATTTACAATTTTACACACATATGTACATGGAAAATTTTTTTCCACTTTCAGGAGCCATTGCTAAAATGCCGTTTAAGGGATTGACGCCGGAAGATACTGTCAGAAACGCACTTAAATTTGAAAAGGCAAAATTTTTCAAAAAGGCATATCGACAAAAGAAAAAAAATTCAGAAAACTAATTTTTAAGTTAATCAAATTTATAAATTGGAATTCTTTTATTATCCATCTCAAAGAAGCACATGCACAAATGAAAATGAATTTAAAAATGAAATTATCGTAAATATTAGACTACTTTAGAAGAAGAAAGTACGGAATTTGGAATTAACTAAAAGACTAAAGAAACAAATGTACAAATGAAAGTGAATTAAAAATATTAGACTGTTTTAGAATAAGAAAGAGTAATTAATGTAAATATTAGACTGTTATTGAAAAAGAAAGACCTTAATTTGAAAATAAGAGCGAATTTAATTTTTGAATTAATGAAATTAATGAAGTGCAATTTATTTCCATAAAATATCTATGTTTGAGGCATACACAAAGGTGTAGTGTTGTTGCATGTCGTAAACTTTAAAAGCTTAAGTAAATATTTAGAGAACTTGAAACGACAGCCAAATATTTTTTTACACCTCAAAAATTAATACTATGATTTTGATGGCACTTGCGAACCCCTTAATATATTTTTTATGCGTTTAAAGTTTACGACATACGACACCGTTGTGAATACCCCAATTAACTTAAAGAACAAATAAACAAATGTACAAATGAAAATGAATTTAAAAATAAAATTAATGTAAATATTAGACTGTTTTAGAATAACTTAAAAGACTAAAGAAACAAATGTACAAATGAAAGTGAATTCAAAAATGAAATACATAAAAATATTAGACTGTTTTAGAATAAGAAAGCATAATTAATGTAAATATTTGACTGTTTTAGAATAAGAAAGAATTTAACTAGAAAATAAGAAAAATTTTAATTTTTAATTTAATGAAGTGCAATTTTTTTCTACAAAATATCGTTATATTAACTAAAGTCCTAGAGAAACAAATGTACAAATAAAATGAATTTGCAAATTAAAGGCATTTAAATATTGAACTATTTTAGAATAAGAGTTTTATAATTTGTTACAAATAATAAAAAAATATCTAAATAAAAATCATGCAAGTGAACTTAAAAATTAATATAAAGTGTTTTTTCTTTGTATTATATTAAATATGAAACGATTATGAAAAGGTAAGAAAACCACTATACCCGATTGGAATAAAAAGCGACT